CAGCCCTCGGGCTGGGCCAGCACCTGCCAGGTGGGCGGGGCTGGGGCGAGCTGTGAAGTGCCCTGTTGCTGTCCCTCCGGCCTTCACGTCGGGTTCTGGCTGTGGGGATGCATGAGTAGGCTTGGGATGCGGGTTAGCTATTTGCCTGAGGCTCGGGGAGGGGGTGCGGTCAAGGATGCCAGTGCTGCCCAGAGGGCCCTGGCCTAGCAAAGGGCAGCTCAAGAGCATGGAAACCTTGTCCTCTGTATGGAGTGTGCTGTTTTACCCGGAAGTCACCAGCCCCACTCTTGCTGGGTGGCTGAGCTGTCCGGTCTGCCCTTGACCCACTCATTGCAACCCTGCCCCTGGCTGAAGGGCAGGGAACCTCACTGGCCCAATGAGGCCACGGTGGCCCCATCTACAAGGTCCCCCGGAAGCGGGGTGACCCATCACCTCACTTGCCCGGGGCTGGAGGGTTCTCCAGGATGTGAGACTTTCAGTGCTCAAACCGGGTCAGTCCAGGCAGACCCAGAGGGCGCATCACTCTCCTTGGAAGCTGCTGTCAGAGAGACATCTCCCCCCATGGGGAAAAGCTCCCTGCTGTGGCCTGGGAAAGCAGTGGAAGGTGGCCCAAGTGCTTGGGAGACCCAGATGGAGTTTCTGGCCTAGCCCCAGTTGTGGGCATTTGGGGAGTGAACCAGTAGATGGAAGGCCCCACCCCTGTAACTCTACCTTTCAAATAAATAAGGAAATGTTTTTTAAAAAGGAGTGAGATGTAGACATAGAGCTCCTTTAGTGTCAGATACCTCAGGTGTGTTTCCTAAAAGCAAGGGCTAGGCCAGTGCCGCGGCTCACTTGGCTAATCCTCCGCCTGCGGCGCCGGCACCCCGGGTTCTAGTCCCGGTTGGGGCACTGGATTCTGTTCCGGTTGCTCCTCTTCCAGTCCAGCTCTCTGCTGTGGCCCGGGAGTGCAGTGGAGGATGGCCCAAGTGCTTGGGCCTTGCACCCGCATGGGAGACCAGGAGAAGCACCTGGATCCTGGCTTCAGATCAGTGCAGCGCCAGCTGTAGCGGCCATTTGGGGGGTGAACCAACGGAAGGAAGACCTTTCTCTCTGTCTCTCTCTCACTGTCTATAACTCTATCTGTCAAAAAAAAAAAAAAAAAAAAAAAAAAAAGCAAGGGATAGTCTTGTCTCGCCAGTGTACAGGGATGGGGAATTCATGTTGAAACAGCACTGCTGTCTGCCTACCAGGCACTACTGGGATTTTGTCAGCCGCCCTTTGTGACAAGAGGAAACCTGAGTGCAGTGCCACGTTCAGCTGTTTGTCTCTGTGGTCTCCTGCCCTCTGGAACAGCCCCTGCATTTCTCTGTGCTTCCAGGACCTTACCATTTCCTAGAGGCCAGGCCAGTCAGTTTGCAGAATGAGGGACCCTTCCACAGCGCCATTAACTGCTCCTTGATAAGTGTACCTATCATGTGTTGAGCACCTATTGTGTTCCATGTTGTCCGTGGACATTGTCTCATTACTTTTTTTTTTTTTAATTTTTTGACAGGCAGAGTGGACAGTGAGAGAGAGAGACAGAGAGAAAGGTCTTTCTTTGCCGTTGATTCACCCTCCAATGGCCAGCACACCGCGTTGATCCGATGGCAGGAGCCAGGTACTTATCCTGGTCTCCCATGGGGTGCAGGGCCCAAGGACTTGTGCCATCCTCCACTGCACTCCCTGGCCACAGCAGAGAGCTGGCCTGGAAGAGGGGCAACTGGGACAGAATCCGGCTCCCTGACTGGGACTAGAACCCCGTGTGCCAGCGCCGCAAGGTGGAGGATTAGCCTAGTGAGCCACGGCGCCTGCTCTCATTACTTCTTCAATATATCCTTAGAAAAAAAAGATTTATTGGGGCCGGCACTATGGTATAGCAGGTAAGGCCGCTGCCTGCAGTGCCAGTATCCCGTATGGGCACTGGTTCTAGTCCCAGCTGCTCCACTTCTGATCCAGCTCTCTGCCATGGCCTGGGAAAGCAGTGGAAGATGGCCCAAGTCCTTGGGTCCCTGCACCTGTGTGGGAGACCTGGAAGAAACTCCTGGCTCCTGGCTTTGGACCAGCACAGCTCCAGCCATTGCGGCCATTTGAACCAGCGGATGGAAGACCTCTTTTTCTGTTTCTCTCTGCCTCTCCTTCTCTCTCTGTGTAAAAAAAGATTTATTTATTTGAAAGGCAGAGTTGCAGAGAGGCAGAGACAGAGAGAGATTGGGAGTTCTTCCATCTGCTGGTTCACTCCCCAAATGGCCACAATGGCCAGGGCTGTGTTGATCTGAAGCCAAGAATCAGAAGCTTCTCCCAAATCTCCCAGGCAGGTGCAGGGGCCCAAGGACTTGGGCCATCTTCTACTGCTCTCCCAGGCCATAGCAGAGAGTTGGATTGGAAGTGGAGCAGCCAGGACTCGAACTGGTGCCCATATGGAATGGTGGCATGGCTGGTGGAGGTTTTACCCGCTACACCACAGCACTGGCCCCAAAAGCTCCTTTTTTAAGCTTACTTTGTACAGTATCTCCCTTCCTCTCTCCCTCCTTCCCTCACTCCCTCCTTCCTTTCCTCCTCCCCTCTTTCATTGGGAAGGCAGAGACAGAGAGAGATCTTCCATCTCTGGTTCACTGCCCAGATGACCACAACAGCCAGGGCTGGGGCAAACCAAAGCCAGAAGCCTGCAATTCAATCCAGGTCTCCCACATGGATGGCAGGGACCCAGGTGCTCTCCCAGGGTGCACGTCAGTGGGAAGCGAATCAGGGTGGAGGGGTGGGGACTTCACCCTGGCACTCGGCTGTGGCACCCGGACGCCCCGGGCCCCTCATAACCACCAGCCCAGACGCCCGCCTCTCCTCTGTGACTTCCTGAGGACAAGGGACACAGGACAGAGTAGGCTCAGGAGGTCACAAGACTTGCCTAAGCGTGCAACCAGTGGCCCCGGATTTTAACTCCAGAGTGCGTTTTGGTTTTTTTCTCCCATAATAAAGATTGATTAATTTGAGAGGCAAAGCAAGGGAGAAAGAGAGACAGAGAGCTCTTCCATTCGCTGGTTCACTCCTGAATTGCCTGCAACAGCCAAGGCCGGGCCAGGCAGAAGCCAGGAGCCTGGAACTCCTTCCAGGCCTCCCACGGGGGGCAGGAGTTCAAGTACTCAGGGTATCCTCTGCTGCCTTCCCAGGCGCATGAGCAGGAAGCTGGAAGGGACGCGGCGGCAGGTCCTGATCGCAGGCACTGCAGAATGGGATGCTGGCATCGCAAGCAGGGGCTTAACCCCCTGGCCCAGAGCCTGGCCCAGACCTCGTGGTCTGACCCACTGGGCTGTCTGTCGTGCCCTGGGAGAATATTCCTGGAGTTTGATGTGCAAGTCGTGTTTCTTGTGCCCTCTGCAGCTCTGAGGTCAGCGGACTGGTGCTAACGTCCCCAGCTGTGGCTGAGGGAGATAAGGAGGCTGACCTTTGGGTTTGCCCAGGTCTCCAAGAGACAAGGAGGCCATTTGGCTTTCAGCACTTAGAGAGAGTGCCGGCAAAAGGGCCCAGAGGGTCACAGGGTGAAAATCCACCTCCGAGTCTCAGGACCTTTGCCCCTGATCCGAGGCTGTCACCAGGGCCGGGGCAGGACGTGGCCTAAGGAACCCTGCCCTGGTCTCCGTGGCAGTGGCTGTAGCTGCAGCAGCAGAGAGTGGCTTGCTTCCTCTTCCTGCTTTCTGACCCTGCCCCAAGCTGCGGCCACCCCTCCTCCAGGAAGGCCTCCTGGCTTGAGGCCCAGCCACTGTCCTCACCACATCCAGTCTTTTCTCAGGCTTTAGGCCATCTACCTGTGACTGCATCCTTACAGAATTCATTCATCCTCGTATGTAGTGAGTAGCCACTGAGAACTTTGTACCTGCAAGCCACCGTGCTGGGTGCTGGGTGCTGGGTGCTGGGTGCTGGGGTCAGCAGGGATGAGACAAAGTCCTCGCCTTCATGCGTGAAATAAACAGAGAAGCAAATGCTAACTAAACAGGGATGGGTGTTGTGGTGTCACCGATTAAGCTGCTACTGTGGGGCCTGATCCCATATGGAAATGCCAGTTCCATTCCTGCTTCTAGTCCAGCTCCCTGCGCATGTGCCTGGGAAGGCAGTAGAAGATGGCCTGGGGCCGGCGCTGTGGCACAGTAGGTTAATCCTCTGCCTGTGGCACCCGGCATCCCATATGGGCACCAATTCTAGTCCTGGCTGTTCCTTTTCCGATCCAGCTCTCTGCTGTGGCCTGGGAAAGCAGTGGAGGATGGCCCAGGTCCTTGGGCCCCTGCACCCATGTGGGAGATCTGGAAGAAGCTCCTGGCTCCTGGCTTCGGATCAGTCAGTTCCAACCGTTAGGCCACTTGGGAAGTGAATCAGCTGAGGGAGGACCTTTCTCTCTGTCTCTCCCTCTCACTGTCTGTAACTCTGCCTATCAAATAAATAAATAAAATCTAAAAAAGAAAGAGAAAAAAGATGGCCCAAGTCCTTGGGTCCCTGCCACCCACGTGGGAGACCCAGATGGAGTTCCAGACTCCTGACTTGAGCCTGGCCCAGCCTTGATTGTTACAGTTGGGGAGTGAATCAGCAGGCAGAAGATGGGATCTCTCTATCTTAATCTCTATCTCTACCTTTCTCTTTCCCTTTCTCTGTCTCTCTGCCCTTATAATAAATAAATAGGGGCTGGTGCTATGTTCAAGTGAGATAAGCCGCTGCAGCACCGGCATCCTGTATGGGCTCCAGTTCAAGTCCTGGCTGCCCCACTTCTGATCCAGCTCCCTGCTGATGGCCTGGGAAAGCAGCAGGGGACGGTCCAAATGCTTGGGCCCCTGTACCCACGTGGGAGACCCAGAAGAAGGCTTCAACCTGACCCAGCCCCAGCGATTGTAGGCATTTTAGGAGTGGACCAGAGGATGAAAGATCTCCCTCTCTTTGTAATTCTGACTTTCAAATAAATAAGCAAATAAAAATTTTAATAAATAAATATATCTATATATTTTTAAAGATGTATTTGTTTATTTGAAAGGCCGAGTTACAGAGAGAGGGAGAGGGAGAGAGCTTCCATCCGCGGGTTCACTCCCCAAATGGCAATGACAGCCAGGGCTGGGCCAGGCTGACGTCAGGAGCCAGGAGCTTCTTCTGGGTCTCCCGTGTGGGTGCAGGGGCCCCAGCACCTGGGTCGTCTGCTGCTGCTTTTCCAGATGCACTAGCAGGGAGCCCGACCAGACACGGAGCAGCTGAACTCAAACCTGAGCTTCTGCGGGATGCCAGAGTCACAGGTCGTGGCTCAACCACCACAACACCAGCCCCACTGAATCTTAAAAGTAGAGTAATTGCGGTTTGCAGTAAGTGCTATGAAGGAGGTAAAACAGAGATAGGAGAGAAGATTACTGGACGTCTCTAACCCCAAGGCCACTCTGAGGAGGCAGCAGCCAAGCTGGGGACCCAGGGGTGAGGAGTGGTGTGCACAGAGTTCCGGGGCTGGCATTCAGGCTGAGGGAGCAGCAAGTACAAAGGCCCTGTGGCAGCTGTGGGGCGCACGCAGGAAGGCGGGGGCAGGCTGAGCTGAGCGGGAGGAGGTCGGATTCTGTCTTGAGCTCCCAGGGAAGCCACTGGGGTTTCTACTCGGAAGGTCACGGTTGATTCCTCTGGCCGGCGGTGTCCAGGGCGGAGGTCCCTCAGGGTCTTGTGCCTCTGCTTGTGCCAGACCACTGCCTGCCCGCCCTCCAGGCCCTGTGGGGCTCCAGAGCGTGTCGATTTGACAGGCTCCTGGTCCTCAGCTCTGACCTATCCCTTCTATCCTCACAGGCACACCCACGCCCGCGGCCCCCAGTCCCCCTGAGTGCCCTCCACCAAAAGACTGAGGTGTGGGCAGAGCTGGGGCCTCACTGGCATGGCGGGCATCCTCTGAGTCCTGGTTTTCTGGAGAATCCTTCTCTGGAGAATCGGTCTCCACCTTGAGAGTGTCGGATGAGAAAACGCCGCGCTGTGCTGGGGCCAGGCTCCGTGTGGCCAACAGTGGGGTGGCGCCTGTTCCGTTGGGAGGGAGCGCTGGGGGACACCACAACACCCTTGCTCTTCTGTCTCCTCCGGGACCCATGGCTTAGCTGGGAGCTGGGAGGGCCTCCGGGGGACTGACTGACTCTCTCTCTCTCTCTCTCTCTCTCTCTCAAGATTTATTTATCTGAAAGGTAGAATGTCAGAGAGATAGGGAGAGACCAGAGAGATATATAGAGAGAGATCTTTCACCTGCTGGTTCACGCCTCAGATGGCCACAACAGCCAATGCTGGGCCAGGCTGAAGGCAGGAGCCTAGAATTCCATCAACAACTCCCACATGAGTGGCGGGGACCCAAGCACTTGGGGCAACTTCTGCTGCTTTCCCAGGTGGATTAGCAAGGAGCTGGATCAGAAGTAGAGCAGAGGCTGGCGCTGTGGCACAGAGGGTTAAAGCCCCAGCCTGCAGTGCCAGCATCCCATATGGGCACTGGTTTGAGGCCTGGCTGCTCCACTTCCCATCCAGCTCTCTGCTATGGCCTGGGAGAGCAGTAGAAGATGGCCCAAGTCCTTGGGCCCCTGCACCCACATGGGAGACCCAGAAGAAGCTCCTGGCTTCGGATCAGCACAGCTCCGACCATTGTGGCCAATTGGGGAGTGAGGCAGCGGATGGAAGACCTCTCTCTCTCTCTCTCTCTCTCTCTCTCTCTCTCTCTCTGCCTCTCCTTCTCTCTGTGTGTAACTCTGACTTTCAAATAAAATAAATGAATCTTTAAAAAAAAAAAAAAAGTAGTAGAGCGACCAGGACCAGAACCGGCTGCTCATACCAGATGCTGGTGTCACAGGTGTCAACACTGAACACAACCCTCTGCACCACACTGCCGGCCCCGTGTCTGGCCTCAAGCCCCTCAGTTTGTGGTATTCGCTGCACCTCCGACAGTGCTCGGTTGCTCGGTACCTGGCACGCAGCAGGCACTGAGTAAGGGTTAAGCTGTCACTATCATCATTCATTGTCTCACTTGTGGTTCAAGGAAGGTCATGATGGCTGCAGATTTGACAGGGGAAGGGGGAAGACCTTCCACCATTTCGCTGCCCTGGACAGCAGCCCTGGGTCATGGTCTCCCTCGTGCTGGCCTGGAGGGTCCCCCGGGAGCCCCTGTAGTGGGGAGGGGGGTGCTGTCTCCTTGCTGGGCCTCCCGGGAGGCTGGCCAGCATGGCACCGGCCCCGACCTAGTTTCCGGAGCCCCACTCCCCAGATGCCTCCTAAACCTGTCTGGCAACAGATGTGTCACTTCCCGGCCTGTGGTTTTGGAATGCGGGGACTTCAGCTGCTGCCGGGCCGAGCCCAGACCTTCCCCTGTGGCGGCCCAGACCCTCGCTTCTCGGCCCAGCTTCCGCTCCAGTCCAAGGTGGATCTTCCGAGGGTCCCCGCCTGGGGAGGCAGCGGGAGGTGGGCCCTGGGCCCTCTGGGGAGGAGCACTTCCCCACTTTCTCAGGGCTGGGGCTGCTCATCTCTTCTGGGCTTGTCCCCGCATGCGTGGGTTTAAGTGGGCTCTCCCACTGGTGCGGTACAGAGAAACGGCCTCCGAGCGCCTGTGTCGTGCATGTTCCCGGCACACCGGCTCCTTCACCTTCTAGGCCTTGGTGTTCTGTGTGAACGGGGATGTGTGGGCAGCTCCTGGGGCTTCTGCGAGACAGAGGGGAGTGGGATCCTACTGATGCCCCCGACATCTCACCCCTTTGCTGCCACTTCCCCCTGGGGCCAGTTGGAGCTGAGTGTGGACACGCAGGCCTGTACTCTACAGTGATGGGGAAGCCAGGCCTGCAGCTGCTCTGGTTACAGATGAGCACAGATGTCCTGCAGAGCCCCAGTGACCATGCACCCCCGGGGCCTGCTCCCCACAGGGCTCTGCACCGTGTGAGCTGGCTTTGGGCATAAGCCACGGGCTGTCACTGTGCAGCTGCCTTGAGTCTCTGGGTCCCCAGGTCTCTCCCTTCTGAAGGCAGGTGCTGCAGAGGCTGGGAGGTCCCCCAGCCTGCCCAGGGGAGCCGTGCCCCCTGCCGGGTGCCAGGCTGGAGGTTGGCTTCAGAGCAGAGTGAAATCCAAGCGATTGCCGTGAGGGAGCGGGGCAGGCGTGGGGCCGGAGCTCAGGGGTATCTGCTTCTGTCCACTCAGGATGGGGACGTTTGCCCAGGGAGCAGCGCGGTGTGGACTGGGAGCTTTGGCGCGGCAGAGGTGGGGCAGGGGCTGCTCTCTGGGTTGTCTGCCTTTGGCGATTTGCATAGGGAGCTGTGCTTCTAAGACCCCCGGGACCCTGCTCTGGCCCTGGAAGCTTCCTCTCAGCAGGAGCGGGCTGGGCACCTGCCTGTCTGGCCCAACCTGCGCTTGCTGTGGGCCCCTGCACCTGTGCCCCGGCTCAGGGTCAAGTCTGGGTTGGCTGCCTTGGTGTCCCCCAGCCTTGCCAAGCAGGTGTCCCTCAGTCTCGCCAAGCACACACGGCTGTCCCAGTTGGCAGGGAGCAATGTGTATTTCCTACTCACCCTGTCTGGAGGCCTGTGGGGAGCCCAGGCCACCGAGGGCGGCCCTGGCCAGCCCCATGTTTCCAGTCCCTGCTTCTGCTTCCAGGCCCTCCCCAGCGCAGCGACACCGCGCCCGAACTCACAGGCTTTCTGCTGCCCTGGCCACTGTCACCTTTCCCGCTACCCTCCGCCTCCTCCCTCTGGGTCCACACACACCTGCTCTTTGATCCACGTTGGCTCCTTGTGCCTCGGAGAGGGTGAGCACCAGAGGCAGGGGTCCCTGCCACTCTGGTCGGCAGCCGGAGCCGTCCTCTGCCACTTGGGGGTCTTCACACGCTGCTTCTCTGTGTTCTGGAGTGGGGGTGCCTGGAGTGAGATGGCTGGGGAGAGGCTGGGTGCTGAAGGCAAATCCCAAAGGCAGCTCTGGCCTGACCCTGGGCGCTCCCTCTCTCCCTCCTTTCCTTCCTCTTGTCCTTTCTTTCTTAAATAGCCTTATTGAGACATAATTAACATACCATAAAATCCAACCGTTGCAAGCGCGGAAGTGGGTGGTTTTTAGCACATTTACAGAATTGTGCAACCATCCCCATTAGCACTCGCTCCCCAGGCCCCTCCTTCTCCCAGCCCCCGGCAACCGCCAGTGTTTCCCCGTGTCCTTGGAGTGGCACGTGTACTGCATATAAATTATGAAGCCGGAGCCCCGGGGGCTGGGGTGGATTGCCCCACTTTGGGACTGGCAGGGCCAGGGCCATCCATTCTAGTACCCGTCACTCCTGGCTGTGGGGCTGGGAAGGTCACCAGCCCCCCTATTCTTTACCGAGGCTGGGGGGACATGAGACCAGCTGAGGGCAAGAAACCTGCCCAGGGTGACACACGGGGTTGGGGACACGGCCCCTATGCTACGGTTCCCACCTTCCCCACGGCAGCCCCTCCCCCTCGGTGGGGAGCAAATGGCAAATGACAGCACAGGCAGCCCTAGATCTACAGGTTAAGGCCAGAGCTGGGCACGTAGTTGTCCCTCAGCAGCTGAAAGCTGAGCCGAGATCAAGCTGCTGCCCCGGCATTCCAGGCCCGCGGATCCTGCTTGCTTGGGGCAGGAGGAAGTGCATCCGTGCAGCCCCGGAAGGTGGCAGGTGGACGCCGCTGGGGCTGCGGGGCTCCCCGTCACTTGTTCCTGGCACCTGGAGCGGGCGATGCTGGCAGGGCGGGCCGCAGGTTGCTTGCGCTGGGCGGGATGACTAAGACCCGGGGCCGTGGGAGTCTGGTTAATCAGCTGTGGCAAAGCTTCCCCTACTGTTTGCAAACAAGGGCCACCCCCAGAGGAGGAGCACCCAGGCTGCGGGGAGCTGCTGTGGCCGCCACAGGGCCTGGCACAGAGAGTGCGAGGTTGCAGTGCCAGGAGGTGGGCTGGGCGGGCTGGGGCTGGGGCTTCCCAGGCTCAGGAGGCTCCCTGGCCCTGGCTGCTGCCTCGGCCCCTCCCTCCCCTCCTGGAGGGGTTCTGGTCCAGGAGCGACTGACCGACACCCAGCGCAGGGCAGTGGGAGAGCAGGGATGATGTCAGGATGCCCGTGGCTGCCTGAACAGAATCACATGTCTAGGGTTTCTTTCTTTTCTTTTCTTTCTTTCTTCCTTCCTTCCTTCCTTTTTTTTTTTTTTTTTTAAGATTTATTTACTTATTTGAAAGGCAGAGTTAGAGAGAAAGAGGGAGAGACAGAGAAAGATGGTGCATCCACTGGTTCTCTCCCTAAATGGCCACAATGATCAGGGCTGGCCTAGACCAAAGCCAGGATCCAGGAATTCCATCAAGGTCTCCCATATGGGATGGCAGGAGCCCAAGCACTTGGGCCATCTTCCTCTGCTTTCCCAGGTGCACTAGCAGAGAACTGGATTGGAAACAGAGAAACCAGAACTTCAACCAGCGCTCATATGGGATTCCGGCATCGCAAGGGGCATGCTCCTCATTGGCCCCCAGTGGAAGGTTTCTTTATCTTTTTAAATTTATTTTCACTTTATTTGAAAGACACACCCAGAGGGAGAAGGATATTCTATTCAATGGTTCACTCCCCAGATGCCCACAATAGTTGAGGCTAAGTCAGGCCAAAGCCAGGAGCTGTGAACGCATTCCACATCTCCCACGTGGGTGGCAGGGACCCAAATACGTGAGCCATCGCCTGCTGCCTCCCAGAGTGAGCATCTGTAGGAAGCTGGAATTGGAAGCAGCATTGGGACTCTAACCAGGCACTCCCATACTGGGATGCAGGTGTCCCAACAGGCGGCTCACCCGCCACACCAACGCCTACCCCATCTCGGATCCCCGAGAGGGTGTCTGCGGATGTCTGGGGCTTAAGAGCTGGCAGAGAAGGGAGGGGTGTGTCCCTGTTCTCAGCCCCACCCGGCCCAGCCCGGCTGACACAGACACTCCTGGCCTGAGCACCCGGTGACCAAAGCAACACACCCCTGGCTCTGCAGTCATGGCTCGGGCGGCTCATTACGTGCCTCGTGCCTTGCAGGGGAAGCAGCCTGGGCGAGCATTCCAGGTCCCAGAGAAAAATTGTAAATTAGTGTGAAAAATAGTACTCGTCCCCAAACGCTGCCAACCCTCAGTGTAAACTCGGGAGAGCGCGGCGGATGGCAATCTGGCAACACGTTCTGAAAGTCAGACACCCAACCCCGACTCCGCTGAGAGCGACTGCTGTGCAGCTGCCGACCTTCTCCTCCCCTCCTCCCCCAGGGGGCCCACAGGGCTGTGGGTGGGGAGATGTTGGCGCCTGGGCTGTTGGTGAGTGTGGGGAAAGAGGTGGGAGCTGCTCAGACACGGGACTCACGGATAGCCGGGTCAGCGGGGGTTAAGGCGAGTGGCCACCTGCTATGCAGCTGCTTACCACTAAGATTCTTTTCGCTGGGACCCCAACGCTGAGTTCTTGGTCTCACCCTCCCTGTAGGGGCTGTGGTAGGGAACATGTTACCTGGAAAATGCTCGTTATGTGATTTTTCTTAAAAAATTTTTATTTATTTATTTTGAAAGGCAGGGTTACAGAGAGAGAAGGAGGGATGGAGAAAGAGATCTTCTCTCTGCTGGTTCACTCCCCAAATGGTCACAACAACCAGAGCTGGGCCAGATGGAAGCCAGGAGCCAGGACCTTCCTCCGGGTCTCCCATGTGGAGGGGCCCAAGCACTTGGGCCATCTTCTGCTGCCTTCCCAGGCACTTTGGCAGGGAGTTGGATCGGAAGTGGAGTAGCTGGGACTCGAACCAGTGCTCTGATATGGGATCCAGTGTCAAGGGCTGTGGCTTAACCACTGTGCTACAGTGCTGGCCCAGGAAAAACAATTTGCAAAGAAAATTTATTTAGTTATTTGAAAGACAGTTATAGAGGGGAGAGAGGGGGAGAGAGAGAGAGAGAGAGAGAGAGAGATCTCCCATCTGCTGCCTCGCTCCCCAAATGGCTGTAATGGACAGGGCTGGACCAGGCATAAGCCAGAAACCGGGAACTCCACCCAATCTCCCACGTAGGTGGCAGGGACCCAAGTACTTGGGCCATCTTCCCGCTGCTTTCCTAGGCGCATTAGCAGGGAGCTGGATGGGAAGTGGAACAGCCAGGATTCCTCTGAGTTGCCTAACCCACAGCGCCAGCCCCAGGAAAACAATTTTTAAGTTAAAGAAAATAAACCAACCACCTAGAATTTGCAGCAGGTAAGGGGAAATCATGACAGAGCAGGCAAAAGCGGAGCCGGTGTTAATATAGCGCAGCTCAGAGCAAGCAGAAGGGCATCTAGTACCAAGGAAGGAAGCCCTGAGCCTCTGGGTGATCAGAGGGAGGAGGGGCAGGGGGCGGGGCCGGCCTGGGCTTTCCCAGGCCCTTCTTGCTAAATCTTTTTATTACCTGGTGCTTAAGAACTTTATCTCTGCAGTGTTTGCATTCCTCTCATTTTTTAAGACTACAGGAAATAATAAAGGGGAAAAAAAGGCCTCTGTTTGCTTTTGACCTTAAAGCCACTGGGTCACAAACAGGTTTTAGGTTCCCCTCACCTGGGAGCTGGGAAGCTCTTCGGAGTGCAGCCACGCCGGGCAGGTTGGTTTCCACCAAGGTGGTTTGATTGGCAGGAGGACTGCCTTGGTTCCCAGCAGGGACCTCTGCAGGTGGGACAGTGGTTTCTCCTGTCGATGAGGCTGCAGAACAGTGGGGAAAGGTGGAAGGTGTCACTCACTCAAGTACCTGTGGAGTACCTAGCTCCTGTAGGAGCCAGTCTACAGCCGGCAAGGGCTAGGGGAGTGCATACCCCAGCCACGCGTTACCCAAGACCTCTGAACTTCCACGCCCACCAGAGAGCATGGCTCCTGAGAGCCAGCCAGTGAGCCCCGTGCCAAGCTTGTTCAAGTCCTGCAGCTGGTGAGGGGCAAAGCCAGAATTTAGACTTAGGGGCTGCTATGTGGCCAGAGGCAGAGCCCAGCCCTTCTCCTCCCCGGGGTCCTCTCCAGCTCTTTTTTTTTTTTTTTTTTTTTTTTGACAGGCAGAGTGGACAGTGAGAGAGAGAGAGACAGAGAGAAAGCTCTTCCTTTTGCCGTTGGTTCACCTTCCAATGGCCGCCATGGCCGGCACGCTGCGGCCGTTGCACCATGCTGATCCGATGGCAGGAGCCAGGTACTTATCCTGGTCTCCCATGGGGTGCAGGGCCCAAGCACTTGGGCCATCCTCCACTGCACTCCCGGGCCACAGCAGAGAGCTGGCCTGGAAGGGGGGCAAAGGGACAGAATCTGGCGCCCCGACGGGGACTAGAACCCGGTGTGCTGGCGCCGCAAGGCAGAGGATTAGCCTAGTGAGCCGTGGCGCCGGCCCCCTCTCCAGCTCTTTCTGAGTGCTGCTGACCCACGATTTCAGGGGCTATGCAAGATGTGGATTCACAACAGCAGCTGACTGAGAGGTCCTTGCTATGGAACTGTTGAACCCAGACTGAGAAACTGTTCCCCAGCCTTGAGGGAAGACGCATGGTTCCCATAGCTGCCCCATGGAAATCATTGCCTAGGGGCTTTATCCTCTTACATCCTTTTGCTAGGAATCATCATTGATTTACAGGGAAGAAAGTCTATCTGGGTATGTCTCATACACCTGCTCCTCCCCTCTCAGTTCTGTAGGGTCTGTGTATTCAATGAACACCCAAAAGGCACTTCAAAAAGTGTTGCTGTGGATTCGTTCTGAGAAGCAAGGGGGCAAGAGGTGCGGAGTCACCACACAGACACCGGGGAGTCAGGTGAAAGTGGGCAGAGGCAAGCAGCCCACAGACTCATTTATTTCAGTTGGTACAGCAGCTTATATAGCCGAGGCAGCCAATCTGGTCAAGGGGCGGTTTATGCCCTAACCAATCACAGCCTGTTGCCAGGCAGGCTCCATTGCCAGGTGGTTTCCAAAGCCATTACCAAGTAACTGAGGCTCGCTTGCCAGTGGCCATCTTGGCATGGCCTTCTCATTTCACCACAAAAAAATTCAAGTAAATGGGATTGAAAGTTTATTTTGGTCCAAAATTTTTTTGAAATCATTAATGCATAGCAGGGTCTTGGGAAAGGTGATGGAAAATTTCTAGTAAGAAAAAACTGCATGGATTTCAACATTTTTTTTGTGCTAAAAAAGTTTATCATTTTCCAAGAACATTTTGAAATCTTGCACGTGACACCAGGCCCTGGGCTAGGCTCTGCTGAGGTTGATCCTGGAATCAGGAAAGAGCCCTGCCTTCAAGGTGCCAGTGGGACAGACAAGAACATCTGTGACAGCTCCGGGTGGGGGACACTGCAGGGGTGAGCCCACCTTCAGCTGCCAGGGGTCACGGACGGTCGCCTCCAAGGCGACAAGCAGGACAAGCAGAACTGGTGGGTACAGGCTGGCAGAGGCATGTGGCAGTGGGGTAAAGGAAAGGGCAGGCAGGACAGCGTCTGCAAGGCCTGGAGGTGCCTGGCTCTCAGGGTGAATAAGAGAACTGGAAAATCACGCACATCGTACCCGTGCTGACTGTGGTGCCGTGAGGATCGGGTCACACACAGTCTGGCTATCATCTCCCCTCTCTGCTTCCCTTTGCCAAGGGCTCCCAGGCCCGTTTTTCTGAGGGATGATGGAGAGGTGAGAGTTTCAGGCTCTTTCAACACAAAGATAACACTGCTGCCACCTGCCTGGGGCACAGGTTGGAAGTGCCTTTGGTGTGGCCCCCTGAGACAGCTGTGCCTCTACCAGAGGTGGCTGAGAAGAGGTCAAAGGCTGAACATGGGCATCCTCACTTACGTTGGCATGGTCAGGTTTCTGGAAGTTGCCTGCTTTCCCTGTGGTCAGGGGATCATGCATGATGTTTCCGGATAGAAATGACCTTGGAGTTGATCAGTATGAAATTCCTGGTGACCGGCACATTTTTAAAAATAAGTGTCAACAATTGTGAAGCCATTCTTTTTTTCTGTTTAAAAAGATTTATTTATTTATTTATTTGAAAGGCAGAGTTACAGAGGGGGAGAAAGAAAAAGAGAGGGAGAGACTTCTAGTATCCATTTGTTCACTCCCCAATGAGTGCCAACAGTCAGGTCTGGACCAGGCTGAAGAGAGAAACCTGCAACTCCATTCAGATCATCCATGGGGGAGGCAGGACCCAAGCACTTGGGCCACCTTCTGAGCTAGACTGGAAGTGGAGCAACCGAGATTTGAACTGGTGTCCATATGGCATGCGGGTGTCACATATTTAGGCTTAATCTACTGCGCCACAATGCCAGCCCCTAGTTTGTGCTTTTCAAGTCAGAGTTTTGCTACAGTTCTAAGAATACCTCTTTTTTTTTTTTTACATTTTTAAAGATGATGTATTTATTTACTTGAGAGGCAGAGTCACAGAGAGAGGGAGAGACAGAGGTCTTCCATCCACTGTTTCCCTCTCCAAATGGCTGCAACAGCTGGAGCCAGGAGCTTCCTCTGGGTCCCCAACATGCGTGCAGGGGCCCAAGCACTTGGGCCATCCTCCACTGCCTTCCCAGGCCATCAGCAGAGAGCTGGATGGGAAGTGGAACAGCCGGGACTTGAACCATTGCCCACATGGGATGCTGGCACCGCAGGCGGAGAACTAACTCACTACCCCACAGCCCCAGCCCCAGCCCCAGCGCCAGAACATCTCTTCTTCATGCCCCGGATTTCATGGTCCTTCGCGGGACTGTGCTTTTGCACCTGTATACACAGGATGGCCCTCTGGGTGTGCCCACGCATCCTTGGGGGCTCCCCGCTCATGTTCACTGCAGGTTGGATTCATCAACAAACTTCCTGAGGCTCAGCTTCTCTCCTGAAAGACAGGCTGATGGCGCGGGCGCTCGGGGTTAAATGGGTTCGTGTTTATGAAGCGCTCACTGCAGTGCCTGGCACGGGGCTAGCTTAGAAGTAAATGGTGTCTATTATGTGCCCAGAAAAGGGAAAAAGGCTGTACTACAGTGTTGGCAGGGTTTATCTCCAGTGGGTGGGATAAGGGTTACAGCGAACATCTAATCAGAGAAAAAGAACACTAAATGTTATTAAGTTAAAATGCTGGCTCAGGCTTGCCGGAAGGAACCTGCCGTTCGTGTGGATGTACCGCCTCCCAAGTAAGACCAGCCCCCGCCCCATTTCACACCAGGACTTGGAAGGCAGGCGACCCACCCTCCCACCAACCAACAGGGACCACAGTAAAGGGAAGTGTCTGGAAACGTCCGCTCACCCCTGCTGCCGGCCCCAAGGCTTTCTCTCCCATGGGGAGGGGCTTCAGGGGGCCTTGGCTGCAAACCAAACTCGCCAGGGAGCCTCGCAGCCACCGCAGCCACCGCCACCGGGAGCCTGCCATCTAACCCTCCACTGAGCCTTCACTCAGGAATCTCAAATTCAAACAGGCCCTAGCCCACGTCCAGTGGGAGGGACGGTGACTGTGCTGACCTGGCATCCAAAACATTCGAAGGCCCAGGCCCTGGCAGACTGCTAGTCCCGGGCCTGGGCAGCCACAGGAGACAGAACTCGCCTGGAGCGCCAGGACCCCGCAAGTTCCCGCCTTGCCCCTCCTAGGCCAGCGGGAAGGGCCCCGTGCCCACCCTCCTCGGATTACCTGCAGAGCCATCAGCCTGCTTGCTTTCTCCTTCCGCACCCTGGAGGGAGAATACTGCTGCTAACCCTGGAATCAAACGCGCCTCTGTCTGGGAGACAAAGAACAGAGCAGCTCCTCCGGGTCAGCTGTCTGTCCTGCCCGCCCGCTCAGTCTCCCCCAGGCCCCCACCAGGAGCTCAGGAGCCCCGAGGGGAGGGCCTTCTGGGGCTGAACTGGGAGCTGCTTTCGCTGGAGCGGAAAGGAATATTTTACCTTAAAAAACCCCCGAGCAGCTTTGCCGCACTGAGATGCTCATTTGCTGGGCTTGGGGGAGGGGAGAGGCTGGGAGGCAGCCCGGCTTAAGCATTGGCGCTAGACAGCGTGACAGTGCGTGTGCCAGAGCACGTGACAGAGTGTATGTGCACCATCTCCCGTGCAAGTGCCTGCCGGGATGGGAAGAAAGTGTGTGTGTGTGTGTTCGAGCAAGGAAAGCGAATGAGCATGTGAGAGGCGTGCACAGGGTCCTTCCACAGAGTCACTGAGGGGCCGGTGTTGCGGTGCAGCGAGTCCAACTGCGCCTCGGGACGCCCACAGCCCATATCAGAGTGCAGGTTCAAGTCCTGGCTATCCTGCAATTCTGATCTAGCTTCCTGCTAACATGCCTGGGACTTACTAGATGATGGCCCAAGTCCTTGGGTCTCTGCCACCCAAGTGGGAGACCCAGATGGAGTTCCTGACTCCTGACTTCAGCCTGGCTCAGCCTTGGCTGCTGTAGCCATTTGGGGAGTGAATGATGGAAAATTCTCCCCCTCTCTTTCTCTCTCTTTCCCTCTGTCTCTGTCACTGTGCCTTTCAAATTAATAAGTAAATATTTTTAAAAATGAAATCAATATTTTTAAAAACCAAATAAAATTCATGGGAAAATTGAATTAAAGGGCTGAGAATTGGCACAGTGGCTGCTGCATACGACACTAGCATCCCATATGAACACTGATTCAAATCTAAGCTGCTCCACTTCCAATCCAGCTCCCTGCTAATGCACCTGGGTAAGCAGCAGAAGACCCAAGTGCTTGAGCCCCTGCCACCCATGTGGGAGACCCAGATGGGGTTCCAGGCTCCAGGTACAAGCCTGACCGGTGGCAGCCATTGCAGCCACTTGGGGAGTGAACCAGTGGATGGAAGATATCTCTCTCTCTCTCTCCCTGTAACTGCCTTTCAAATAAATATATCTTTTCTAAAAGTTGAACTAGGGCGGGCACTGTGGCATAGCAGGTAAAGCCATTGCCTGCAGGGCTAGTTTTCCATATGGGTGCTGGTTCGAGTCCCAGCTGCTCCACTTCCCATCTGGCTCCCTGCTAATGTGCCTGGGAAGCAGAGCAAGATGGCCCAAGTCCTTGGGCCCCTGCACTCACATGGGAGACCCAGAAGAATCTCCTCGCTCCTTTCTTTGGATTGGCCCAGCTTCAGCCGTTGCGGCCATTTGGGGAGTGACCCAGTGGATGGAAGATCTGTCTTTCTCTCTCTAACTCTGCCTTGCAAATAAATAAATAAATAAATTTTTTTAATCTTCTATTGCTATCCCAGTAACAGAGAGCTGGATCGGAAGAGGAGCAGCCGGGACTAGAACCGGCACCCATATGGGATGCTGGCACTTCAGGCCACGGCTTTAACCCGCTGCACCACAGTGCTGGCCCCATTAAATCTTTAAAAACTAAATTAAAAAGTCTCAATGCATGGGACTACAGCTTGACCTGGTAGTTGAGCCACCCATTGGGACACACCCATTCCAAAACAGAATGCCTAAATTTGAATCTTGGCTCTGTATCCAATTCTAGCTTCCTGCTAACGTTCATCCTGGGAGACAGCAGGTGAACGTTCAAGTACTTGGGTCTCTGCCACCACGCATGCATAGAGAGACATGCATTGAGTTCCTGGCTCCCTGCTTTTGCCTGGCCCAGCGCCAGCTCTTGTATGCATTTGGGGAGTGAAGGTGAGATCTGTCTTTCAAATAGATAAAAGAAACAAAAACTGAACAGAATAGACATCTATGAACTTTCCGGAGCACCTTGTATGTGTGAGTACTGGCTAGGATGCATGCACTCTTTGTCCCAGGACTGATGCGTTGCTCACCAGCACGAGGGAGCGCGCAGTGTGCACCACCGGGTGTGGGCACGTGTGTGATAACTTCATGGGTGGGCGCCGTCCGGCGTGTGCCGGCATGTGTGTGGCATGTTCTGCTCCCGAGACCGTTCCCGAAAGCAGGAGCACGTGTGCGCGTGCCCCCGCGGCTGGCCGCACACACCGGCACCCCCGTGTGCGGGGGCGCGCGCCTGGGCCCGCGCGTGCGCGTGAGATTGTGCGCGCGCGCCGCCCCCCGCCGGGGTCGGCGCCGGTTGCCATGGGAACGCGCCGCGGCCCGAGTTAATCATTTCCTGTGGAAAGTGTGCGGGAGGGGCGGGAGCGGGGCGGGCCGAGGAGGCGGCGGCGTGGAGCTGCCTCCCACCGGCGGGCCGGGCCGGGCCGAGCCCCGGGCGCTGCGGCGACGCCGGGATCCTGCCTCCGCCGGGCCGGTGAGTCGGGGGCCCAGGCGGGCTGGGGGCGGGCTGGGCGCTCGGGCTCCGCCCGGTCCGCCGTTCGGGGCGCCGCATCCGGGCCGGCCTTTCCCACGGGACCCCTGTGCCCCGGCCCGCCAGGGACGCGGGGAGAGCCGGGCCCCTGACACCCGGCCCTGCGCAGGCCCCCGGCGCCGTCCAGCGGGAGCCGAGGACCTTGCTGGGAGCCGAGCACGGGGCCAGCACGTCCCCTGGAATCGGAGCAGGCTCGGTAGCCGATTCTGATTTCATTGGCCGGGGGAGAGCGCAGACCCTACCTGGGAGCTGCAGTGTCAATCAGCGCCGCCCCCTTTGCAGGGGTCTCCTGCTCCCACCCACCCCCGCCCCCTTTGGTCCCTCCCACCACGGTCAGTTCTGGCGGGGCACAGGGTGGGGTGCGCCAGTCCCGCGGTCAGGAAGGAGGGTTCCGGCCAGCCGGGGCCCTGTTGGGCAGTGAGGAGAGGGCCTTTGACAGCTGCAGCTGGCAGGGGGGCGGGGGTCCCTGCAGGGAGAGTGAGCCCAGGAGCCACCCGTTTCCACCCACCCCCACTGCGAGTTAGAGCAGAACTCTGGCCGGCGCAGTGAAGGGCCTGGTCCTGGGAGATTTTAAAGAGGAAGCTTATTTGAATTCTGAAAGGCGGTTTGCAGCCCCACTCCCACCACCCAACACGTGTGGCTCAAGGTAGGGGGTGGTGGCCACCTCTGGCCTTTCACCTTCCCTGGCTTTCCCTCGGGCTGGGGCTGGGTGAGCACCCACCCTTGTCCTGCCGTGTTCCCCGTGCCCTTGGCCGGCGGGAGATATTTGCTAGGAATGCAGCCTCAGAACGGGGCCCTGTGTTTGCAGTGTCTGGACCTGAGGGACATTGGTGCCAAATTCTGCTGTCTGTGTGGACACCGGGACGCAGAGGCTGGGAAATCTCAGCCCCTGCGCTGCCTCTCCGACCTTCGGCCTGTCCCCCTGCAGCAGTCTGTGGGCAGCTGTCATCTGGTCCCCGTCTCTGCGGTGTCCCTGGTCTCGGGCAGGGCCAGAGCCTAAACCCACAGAGCCAGATGGCCTCTTCTTCCTTCCCCACCCCCTGGCCCCCAAGCCAGCTCCTCTAGATCCCACCACCCCTGGAGCAGTCACTGCAAAATAAGATGTTCACGCTCCTGGCGTGTGCCAGTCTTGTGCCAAACACGATTACACACACACTGCTCTGACCTGTAAGGTGGCTTCTCCCCATTTGGTAGAGGGAAATGGTGAGGCACAGAGGGTCAGAGTCATTCTCCCAAGGTCACACAGCTAGTGAGCAGCAGAGCCAGGGTCTGAGCCAGCCTCCTGGATTACCCTGTGACTCCCAGGTAGGCAGAGGTCCCGGGAAGCCGGAACCCAGAAGCCGGGTCAAGTGTGAAATCCCTGTGCAAAGGAGGAGAGAGAGAGGACGTCTTTGTGGGTCCAGACCCTGGACTCATTTGAGATTCCTTGAGACATTTGACCTTCACAACCATCCTGCTGCTAAATTCAGCTGCTTCCTCCTCTTTGGGATCTAGCACGCCCTTCCTCTTTCTTCCTGCCGTCTTCCTGGCCGCCTCGCCGGCTTCCCGTCCTGATAGCCACAGGAATCTTGTCTGCTGGCGCCCCGTAGGCTCATGGATCTCCCCGACACCCCCGCTGCCCGTGGAGTCAGCCTCAGTGCCCTGCAGCCGGGCACGCAGCTGCACCGGCCCTCCCCCGGCTCTGCCGTTGGCCCGCAGGCTGCCGGTGTGCCCAGCTTTGTGCCAGACGGCCTGGAGACCAGGGCGGTGCTGCCTCCCTCGGTCTCCTTTGCACGCTGCTCCATCTCGGTTCCCCCGTGGCGTCTGCCCACGTGTTTGGATTGGCCTCTGCCCCGTCCTTGGGCACACACTCCTGTTCCCTTTCCAGCGAGACTGCATCCGGGAGCCTCCTCCTCCAAGCTGTCTTCCTCGGTCCGGGAAGCAAGGACCCATGATGCCATTCTCCCGGGGCCCAGCTCTGGGTCTCTGGTACTAGATCTTCAGGCCCACGGCCCTGGACTCTCAGAGCCTCATTCATCCCTAGTTCTCTGTCTACCTGGCATGTTCAACCCTGTGCTCGGTGTACCACGTCCTCTGGTGTATCCTCTCCTTCTCACCCTTGCCAGACAGCCCCGAACAGAAGGGGGGCTGCTTGTCCTCCAGCCCTCACCCCACCCCTCAAGCCTTCCAAGCCTGCCCTCTGCCCTGTTCCGTTGACCACTGTCTTTTTTTCTTTTTAAAAGATTTTTATTTATTTATTTATTTGAGACATAGAGTTACAGACAGAGTGAGGGAGAGGGAGAGAGAGAGGTCTTCCATCCGCTGGTTCACTCCCCAGATGGCTGCAACCGCCAGAGCTGAGCCAATCCGAAGCCAGGAGCCAGGAGCTTCTTCCAGGTCTCCCACGCGGTTGCAGGGCCCAAGCACTTGGGCCATCTTCTGCTGCTTTCCAAGGCCACAGCAGAGAGCTGGATCAGAAGTAGAGCAGCCACACATGAACTAGTGCCCATATGGGATGCCAGCGCCACAGGCAGAGGCTTAGCCTTCTAAGCCACAGCGCCAGCCCCTGACCGCTGTCTTGAGGAGCCCCCAGGGCCTCCACCTGCCTCAGCTTTCTTCCATCCTGTCCCTCCTGTTGGCTCTCCAGTCACTGCTGGGACTGCAATTGATGGTGCACCTGCCGCCTGTCTGGCATCCCTTCTCCAGCCTCCTCACTGCCCCCGAATGCGCCCTGTCCTCACCCAGCTGCCACTGCTCTTGCTCAACCTTCGGTGATTGCGTCCTCACCTCTGGCGTCAGTGGCTGTCTTTCACGCCGAGTCTCGGTGTCCAGCCCTGACCTCTCTCCCAGGTTTCAGTCTCAGCAATTGCATGTGTGCGTTTCAGTTCATCCACCCAGCAAGCCGTATAGAATGCGTGACGTGGGCACAGCTGTAGGCTGGGTGCTGGAGCCAGAGTGGTTAGGGGTAGTGGATGTAGTTCAGACAGCTTTCCTGCCTGCAGGAAGTGGTCCTTGCAGTGAGCTGGGGGAGAGTGTTACATGGCCCAGGTAGCTGCACTAGGAGGTACCTTAGGCACCCCCAAATCAATCTGTTTTTTAAATGTTCAATTTGTTTATTTGTTGTTGTTGTATATATTTCAGCTGGTTTTTTAAAAAGATTTATTTATTTATTTGAAAGTCAGATTTACAGCAAGAGAAGGAGAGACAGAGAAATAAGAGAGATCTTCCATCCACTGATATACTCCCCAAATAGCCGCAACAGCCAGGGCTGGGCCAAGCTGAAGCCAGGAACCAGGAACTTCATCCAGGTCTCCCATGTAGGTGCAGGGGCCCAAGCACTTGGGCCATCCTCCACTGCTTTTCCCAGTCCATTAGCAGGGAGTTGGACCAGAAATGGGGCAGCTGGGACTTGAACTGGTGCCCATATAGGGTGCAGGCACTGCAGGCCGTGGCTTAACCCACTGCGCCACAGCACCAGGCCCCCAGCTCAATTTTTTTAAAAGTTTTAAACAAGTGACTTCAGTTTCTACCTTAAAAAATATTTATTTATTTATTTGAAAGGCAGAATTACAGAGAAGCAGAGGCAGGAGGAGAGAGAAACTTCCATCTGCTGGTTTATTCCCCAAATGACCGCAACAGCTGGAGCTGGGCTGATCTGAAGTCAGGAGCCAGGAGCTTTCTCTGGGTCTCCCACGTGGGTGCAGGGCCCCAAGCACCTGAGCTATCTTCTACTGCTTTCCCAGGCCAGAGCAGAGAGCTGGATCAGAGGTGGAGCAGCCGGGTCTTGAACCAGTGCCCATATGGGATGCCAGCACTACAGGCGGTGGCTTTACCCAGTACACCACAGCGCCGGCACCCCCCACTCAATCTTAAAACCAAAAGCAAACTCCATGTCGCCTCTCCAGGCTGATTTCCCTTCTTCTGTAAGTGACATCACTGGGCATGAGACTCTAGCTTGGTCAGCTTAAATGCCCTGAAGGCTGCTTTGCACATAGTAGGTGCTCAGTAAAGTCTTGTGCAGTGCATGCTGGAACTCTGGTCCCTTTGTTCTGTTCACGAGGGGCCTGTGAGTTTTCTGTCTCTGATCAGTGCCCTGCACACCACCTGGTGCCTGGCACCTACCTCCCTACCTCCAGCCTCCCTGGATCCCGTTCAGATTGGGAGGCTTTATTGAAACATTTATCTCCCTTCTGACCTGGAGCTTGGAGGCTGCATCTCTCCTGATTAAAGAGGACTCCCTTCCCCCTCCCGGCAGGGACCTGACCCACAGCAGGCATCTGATAAGTAAGTGGTAAATGAGGGATGGATGAATCTTGGGATCTCAACAGCTGACGTGGTACCTGCCCTGCTCCAGGCACAGCAAAGGCTAGACGGCTACACAAGTGAGCTAACTTTAAGAGAATTTGCTGCAGATACGTGTAGCTTGGCACTGGCCACAGCCAGGGCTTTCCCGAGCCCTTGTCTGCAGAGCAGCCTGAGGCTGATGGTTCAGAAACTGAGACGTCTTGGAGAAAAAGGACCAGACTTCGGGGTAGAGGGAGATGGTGCTGCTGTGGTGCCTTCTCCAGGTGGGGCCATGACCTGTGCACTGTCTGTGCCGCCGGGCTCAGAGGCGCGCCCCGCAGGGTGCTGCACACCCGCACCTTGCTGAGCCTCCCTGCTCAGTAGCAAGCACCCTGCCAATGGTGACAGGTCCCATTTTGTGCTGGAGGCCGCCACTGGGCAACAGGTGACCTGTGATCCCCTGACCTGTGGAGCTCATCTCCCGTCATTCTCTCCACAGGCTGCCCCGAGCCCGGAGGAGGCTGCTGAGCCCCGGGCCATGGTCCCTTCTCGCAGGACGTGGAACCTGGGAGCCACGCCCTCGCTGCGGGGCCTGTGGAGAGTGGGCCGGGCCGCGGAGCAGGAGCCGGGGATGGCTCGCCCCGCCCCAGCCGCTGCCAGCCCGGCTGCCCGCCCTTCCCCGCACACCGGCCTGGGGAGGTTGAGAACTGGTGAGTCCGCATTTTTAAAATGCCTCTTTATTTCCCGGCCTTCCTCCAGATCGCAGAGATGAGACTGAGGTTTCTCGCCCGGTTCCTCAGTCAGAGCTGTCAGGTAATTACAGGGTAAGCGGCAGCCCGAGCCAGGCGGGCTGGCGGGCGGGCAGGCACAGTGCCCTGCGCTGCCTCGCCAGGCGCCCCTTCCCTGCGCCCTGCCTGGACGCTGGGTTAAACTTTAACAGTCCCTGGAGCGGGAAAGGGAGGAAGAACAACCACGGTCTCGGTGGCCGGCCCGGCCGGGGCTCTGCCGTCCGATCTGCCGGTCCCAGGCCGAGCGCTCCCGGGCTCGCAGCTGGTAAACAAGGTAGGTGAAGCGGCCGGGCAGCCGGGGCGCTCTTGGCGGCGCTGACACTTGATCCCGGCTGGGCTGGCCCGAGGGAGGCGTGAGGTGTGGACTGAGGCTGGTGGGGAGCGCGGCCTGGCGGGCTTTGGGCGCCCATGTGCTCTGTCTGAGGTGCCCTCCAGGCGGCTTCTGTAGGTAGCAAGGCAGCACGGTGCAGGGGGCGGGGAAGGGGCCCTGGGGAACTGTCGGTGCCCTGGGTGTCTGGGTCCTGTCTCCGGGCGGGCATGCGGCCACCCAGAGGTGCTTGGCTCCTGTGGTGCTGGGTGGGGCTGGATTGTGGGGGCCGGGGAGGTGCCCCGACCCTCTCCGGAGCTCTCCCTGGCAGGGTGCTTTGGTTTGTCAGGGAGAGAGGGCTCGCCCGGCTGGCTGGCTGCCTGAAGGGTTTTGCTGTCCGTCACTGCTGCCCGACACGGGGATAGGGGTTGTTACCAGCCGGTCTCTGGGCCATCGGGTTCAAGCCCCTGCATGCACAGAAGGGGAAACTGAGGCCCAGAGCAGGCACGGGGCAGACTCCTCTTCTTTCCCGCTCTCCTGTGTTTGTGCCATCAGCGGCAGCCAGCGGGCCGCCTCCCAAGGTCTCCCTGCTTTCCGGGTTGCCTGTGGCCGGCTGGGGATGACCCAGGGGGGCCTCTGGGAAAAATGTGGAATTTAGGGACCGGTAGACCCAGTGGCCAGGAGAGGGCAGAGGGTGTTCTCCTCCCTGCGAGGATGTCCTTAGGATCACAGATATAATAGGAATGAGTTCTGCCTTTCTGGTAGAAAAGAGAAAAAAGAGAACTTGGAGAACTTCAATGTATAAAAAGCAACTAGGAACAGCCTGTAAGGTTGTCACTGAGGGTTTTGGGCAGCCCCTGCCGGTCCTGTGTGCGCACGCGCTCGTGGGTCCCTTAAACAGGTGCTGTGGAGGCTGTGGCCGTGCGGACTCACGACAGTGACCAAGGGGAATTCAGTATGAGAAGTAAAGGCACAGCACGTGCCAGCGGGCGGGTGCACACCCCCCTCGGCTGCCCTGGGCCCCTCGGCACCCCCTCACTGCCACCCTCTGCAGGGTAGCTGCAGAGCGTCCGTTGGCACCCGGCATTGGAGTACTGGCTCTGGGTGACCCGAGCACGTCCTTAACCCACTTGAGCCGCCGGTTCTTTGCCAGTCCAGTGGGGAGGTCGTGAACTGATGGCAGTTGTGGTCCAGATGGGATGCATTTGTGGGGACCGTATGTGTGCCGTCCTGTTAGATCCTCATCACAGGGCTTTGAGGCTGGCTCATTAGCCCCACTGTACTCGCAACCAGCCAAGCCCGAGCTAGGTGGGAGCCAGGCGTCTGGTGCAGCAGCTAAGACGCTGCCTGGAATGCCTGCCCCCCACATCCGAGTGTCTGGGTTCAGGTCCCAGCTCTGCCCCAGTTCCAGCTTCCTGCATGTGCGCTCTGGGAATCAGCAGGTGATGGCTCAAGCAAGTGCTCGGGCCCCTGCCACCCACACAGGGGACCCGGATGGAGTTCCTGGCTCCTGGCGTCAGCCTGGCCTGGCCCTGGCAGTTGCAGGCCTTTGAGTAATACACCAGGGCATGGACGGTCCCTGTCTGTCTGTCGTTTTCTCTCTGCCTTTCAAATATATAAAAATAAATACATAAATGAAAATGAAAGAGGGGCTGTGAGGCCTGGACAGCGCTTGGCTCCAGGGGCTGGCACTCAGGACGCTGTGTCCCCCCGAGTCGCTGGCCCCGCATCTGGCCACAGTGGAGGGTGCTGGCGGACGGGGTGGCCTGCCCCAGTCAGCTCTCCTGTCCTGGAGGGAGGCAGTGTGTCAGAGGTGCCAGCAGATGTGTTTTAGCTGGTTCTGAGTATGCTCTTGGAGCCAGCAGAGGAGAAGTTGCCACCTAGAGGCGGCTGAAGTAATGAAGGCAGGCCCCGGGTGCTGGCTGGCATCAGCTTCCTTCTGCCACTGTCTGTAGAGGGCGCTAAAGAGCACGTGCCAGCCCCAAAGCCCCTGTGGGGACAGGGAGCGGGTGGGGTCTTGGGTGCTCTCCAGAGGAGAACCTGGAGGCAGCCCCTGCTTCTGTGTGGAGCGGGTGGGCAGACAGGTGCACAGCTCAGCCAGAGCGCTGCGCTGGCCCGTGGTCAGAGCATCTCACCCATCTCTCTATCCCCGGTCAGGGCGTGGAAAAGACACGGTCGGCGGCGTTGGCGACGAGGACTCTGGTGGCCGCAGTGCAGCCCGCCCAGCCCTAGCACAGTGCCGAGCGCTCAGCGTGGACTGGGCTGGCCCTGGGAGTCCCCACAGGCTCTACCTGACCTTACAGGTAAGAAGCTCCCAGCCTGCAGAAACTTGAGGGGCTGGCCGGGCTGGTGGGCCTTGGCCCCGTGAACCCCTGCAGCCGGGTCCCCTGCAGGCTCCCAGGAGAGAGCTGGGGACCTGCCGGAGCCTCTTCACCAGGCTGCCCCAGCATGGTCCTGGGAGCCCGCGACCTTGGGGCAGTTTGCTTCATTGTCTGGGGGAAGATCTCGCAGAGGGTGACAGAAGCTTTCCTTGCCGAGGAGTTAGATGGGAGGCATGGGGCCTGCTGAGATGGGCTGAGCCCCAGGAAATACTGGGGAGATTGGCAGGCTTGGGGTGCCTGTCGGGCACATGCACCTGGGGTGGGGTGGGGTGGAGGGAGCAACGCCGCTATTCCCTTGTGTGATGTGAGGATCCAAAGCCAGACAGGAGGCTCTGCTGACACCTGGGGTCTTTTCCTTGGCCCAACCTCATGGTCACTAACTTCACCTACGTGGGCACCCTTGGCAGTAGCACAGCTGCATGGTGACCGCAGTAATGATAGCAACTGTTAATCGCACACCGCCTTCGTCCCAGGCAGGACGTAGCTCGTAGCAGCCATCGTGGTCCTCATTCCAGTCTCGAGACACTGTCTGATCCGAGTCTCATAGAGGAAGGCGCAGAGGCTCAGAGAGGCCCAGGAACTCGCTGCTGGCCACACAGCAAGCAGGGGTCTGAACCAGTAACCGTAGCTAGCCGTACAGCATTCACACAGGCCGGAGGCGCTATGCCGAGACCCCAGATGCCCCTGGTAGCCCTCTTACCTTTGAAAAGTGTGCTAGTAAGCGCTTAATGTTTACCTGCTTCTCTTTCCTATCCAAGCATGTCTTGTGTGTCTGTGACGGTGATCGCTGTTGAGGTTGACCTGCTGTTCTGTGACCAGCTCTTGTTCCCAGCAGTGAGTCTCCGTGGTCTCTTCACGCGTGTTTGCATGCGGAGAGTAATGCGCCATGGCCCCGATCCTAGTGTGAACATAGGCCCGGCGCTTGATGTGGCTTCTGGGCCCATCTGGTCTTCTGCGGTGTTTCCTGGCCATTTTCGGGCGGTTCAGCTGTGAGATGGAGGCAGGCCGTTCTTTTTTTATCCGCGAGGTCTGGTGAGAGAATAGTTAAGGAAACCAGAGCAGAGCTTGGCTCTGACCTGAGCCGTCGGTAGTTAACTGGGCGGCAGTGGTCAGAAGCCCACAGCCTGCAGTCGGGCGCGGCTCCGTTCTGAGTTTTGATGACGGGGTGCCGGGCTGCGGTGGCAGCGTGGCCTGGGCTCAGCAGATCTGCCCAGGATCCATGTCCCTCTGGGCGCCGTGAAGCTCCACTGCGTCAGGTCACGGGGGCGGGTCCCAGGCTCAGGGAGGCGACCCAGTGGGCAGAGGGCCACCCCAGCCTCCGGCCCAGCGGTGGAGACCTGAGGTCCTCCCCACAGAAGCGCTGTAGAAATCCCCAACCCCCCAGGGGCCAGGCTGTCCTTCCTGTGGCTTGGCCAGCGGGCCCGAAATAGCGTGACCTTGGCTGAGGTCTGCAGATGGGAAGTGCCAGCTGCTCTGACAAGCCCCTGCCATGGGATGGCAGTTGGTCCGGGGGTGGGAGTTTTCCTAACTCCAGGAGGCGCGTGCACCCCCTCCCTTAAGTGGAACCTGAAGGCCGGAGGTCACGGGAGGGAGGGAGCGGGTGGCAAAGGACGAAGGAGGAACTCTGCGGGTTGTCCTGTCTCCTCTCTCTGTTCTCTTCCTTGGCTGCTCAGTGACCAAAGTGAAGAGATGCAAAGATGACAGATAATGCAATGAAATCCGAGTCCTAGATGCCCCCATATCAGGACTTCCTGTGTGCCGACACGATGCCACAGGTGGAGAAGCCCGCACCAGGAAACTGTGTCGTGCACAGACTCATTAAAGCCGTCCATCAAAATCGCCATCAGGTTCTGTACGCGTGAAACGGGCATGGACGGCACGGCCAGCCTCGGCTCCCCTCCCCACGGTCTGTCCTGGTGTACTGGTGAATGTTCCAGAACACCCCTGGGCCCCAGCCTTGGGACAGGGGATGTTCCGTGTGTAACGGCTGCCCGTGTCCAGCGGCTGGCACTTCCTGAGGACCTGGCCCCGGCTGGCCCGGTGAGGCGGGCGCTGTCACTGTCGTCCCTGGAGGAGGAAGACAGCGCAGCTTCCGCGAGGGCCAGGAAGCCACCCGCAGTCACACAGCTCACGCCGGGCAGAGCCAGGCTTCCCACCCGGGCCTGAGACTCGTGACAGCATTTTCAGAACACAGAGGGCTCAAAGACACGAAAAACCTTGGTAACCCGTGTGGACGTTAAAAAGCAAAAGAAAACACTGTGGATATTTAGAAGGCCAAAAAGGTTCAGAATAAAGTAGGGACCACTGCCTTCCACTCTCCGCACTTCCCCCCCAGATGCTGAAGTGCCACTGGTTTCCGCCCTTAGCCGCCGCACCATCTCCCCAGCCTCCCAGGGAGAGCCACCTGTCTGGATGTGGTTCTAGATCTGTCTGTGTTGGTTCTATCTCTTAGCCCCAAATGGGAGTGTACCTTACACAGCTGTGCCCTGCTTGTCTGGGGCGTCCTTTCTCTTTAAAAACGTTCTTTCTTTCTGAGGCAGAGAAAGAGAGAGAGAGAGAGAGATCACTCATCTGCTAGTTCATTCCCCAAGTGCCCTAAATGGGCCAGGCTGCAACCAGGATAATGGGGCCCAAGCACTTGGGCCATCGTTGCTGCCTCCCGGGGTGCCCACGAGCAGGAGGCCCTGTTGGAGCCCAGCCTCTCAGAAGCAGGACACAGGTGTCTTCGCCGCCCTGGGCTGTCTTTCCAAGGGAGCTGTAGGGGACTTCCTCTTTCTCTCCTCCCCCCTCCTCTGCCGTGTCTCAGCCTTCTTTGTCCGTGTTCCTCCTTGGCCAAGAGATGGGGGTTCCACGGTCCCTGGACAGCCACGTGGTCCTGGTGCTGCGTAGGTAGACCATGTGCCGCGACCTGGGCAGCCCCGAGGGTGCCGTCTGGAAGCAGGGGGCCGTGTCTCTGGGGCAGTGGCAGCCGACATGATGGGGGAAGATGCCCTGGGATGGGTGGGCTAGTGGTGGGGTTGGGACGGGTGTCTGGGATCAACGGGGCTGCCCTGTTGACTCACGAAGGGGCAATCCGAGCTCTGCCTGAGGGCTTCAAGCGCCCACGAGAGCCTTCTTTGCTGGTGCCCGGGGGCCAGCTGCCCCAGGGGAGGGCGGGAGAGGCAGTGCCGCCGTCTCGCTGTCCACACCTCCGCCCAAAGGCTGGAGCCTCTGGGCCTGGGTTCGCTCCAGCTGCAGGTGCCCGCTGCCGGAGGCGTGCCGGGTCCCTCCCGGCGCAGTCCCCTTCACCAGAGGCTTCTGGTTGTGTCTTGGCAGCAGGCCCTGCAGGACAAGGGGTACGAGAGCAAGAGTCAGGGGACGAAAGAAGAGAAGCTCCTGAAGCGGCCGGCGCCGGCCCCCAGGCGGGAGCGGGAGCGGGAGGCCCCGGAAGCCGGTGGCACCGTGAATGTAGAGAAACCAGGTAAAGGAGCTCCTCCCCCCGGCCCGACACCCTGGCCAGGCTGGCTCAGGAGGGGCCCTCGGGGTCGGAGCTGCCCCAGCCCACCCTCGGCAGCTGCAGGAGCCTGGGCCGCCCCTCCTGGCTCAGGGACAGCGAAGTGTGTGTGCTTGCCTGTCCCCGGCCACCCTGCTCCCAGCGCCCCACCCAGTGATAAGAGACCTTGGCCAGCTGGGGCTGGGGTTGAATTTCCCCACGTTTTGTCTTTTCCCAGTGCCTGTCAAAAGCAGGGCAGGGCAGCAGCCGCGCAGGCGCCACTGCCTCTCCCCTGGTGTCCTGCCGTCGCGGGGGTCCACAGTGTCCTAGGATAGGGCTCTGATTCTGCTGCCTTGAGGCCCAGAAAAAGCTGATGGCTCCACTCTTCTCTGGCAAGGCCGCGATGGCATCCAGATGGCTGCGGTTCTGGAAGATTCTGTAGTCTTCCATCCCGTAGTCTCACAGGTCCGTGCCGGGGCTCCCAAGAGCAAGCCTGAGCCCAGCATCCTCAGGGCGCTCACAGGGAAGGCCAAGAACGGGCAGATGGAGCAAATGGAGCCGGCCTCCAGCTGCCGCCGCAGGTTAACCTGTGTGTCTGAACTTGCCAGGGCTGCAGGGAGCCGTTCCCTCTCTGAGGCAGTGCCGAGCCGTGCTCGCCTGTCTCTGCCCGGGCCTGTGGCGCCCAGCAGCAGGTGCAGGGCCTGGGAAAGGCGGACATCCCCCAGCTGGCAGGTCGGCTTCCTTTATCAGGCAGCAGAGGCTCCGGGAAGAGAAAGACTAATCCAAGCTAAGAGTGAGGACCGACTCCTGTCTGGTCCCAGCCCGGGGTCTCCCAGGGACAGTACCCCAGGAGGACCTCTGAGGTCCCCGCTCTTTGACCACTGGCCTTCCATGCGAATGCAGCATCCTGGGCCCCAGGGCCCTGTTCCGCCCGCCCGAGTGTTCCTTTGATCTCACCTTGTCCTACCTGTGCTTCCTCTGGGGACCTCCTGTAGCATCAAGATCTTTTCTCCCCACCCCTCTCATCCCTAGTAGCCCCTGGTCCTCAGTCGGCACCCTGCACCTGCGTGTGGGCCGTGCTGAGGTCAGGAGGCACCTGCTCAGGGGGGGCTTCCAGGTGTTTCCGAGGCTCCCGTGGTCGAAGCAGTGGCCCTGACACAGGGCTCCCTGGTCTCGTCTCAGCCCTGTGGCCTGCAGTCCCCTACAGGCTCCGGGCTCCATTCCCAAGGTTGTCTTTTGAGCAAGCTGCATTGTCCCCACTTCCTGGGGGGAGGGGGGACCCCCACGGGGCCCCTCCCATGCATCTCTTAGGTGCCAGCCTCAGCTCTGGGGCCAAGTCCAGCGTGTTCCCTCTCAAACCCCCGCAGCCTACGGACAGCATGCGGGTCACATGCCACCCACGGCAGCCCCATGTGCGGGCCTGGAAGCATCTGGCTTCCCTCACTCCCTCTGGAACACATCACAGAAGTCCGGCCAGCTCCGTGTGACACGCATGCTGTGTCACGTGCAGGCCACACAGCCAGGGTTCCTGCTCCAGCCCTGGCTCTCTGCAAGGAGGGAGAAGCTGGCATGCGTGCACCCTTCCTGCTCTCTCCAGGGAGCCTCTCTTCACCTCTCCTGCCTCCCACCTGTCCGCCTGCCTACCCGGCGGTGCCCAGCCTGCAGCCCCACCGGGGTGGCCTCCCTGCCGCCCAGTCTGTTGGTCTCCGTGGAGCCGTGAACGAACACACTTGCTGCCTCCCATCAAGGCTGCCAGCTGGGTCAGGTGCAGGTGGCTTTGTTCACAGAGGCGCGGAGCCTGCCCACTCCAAACAAAGCCCAGAAGCCCTGGGGCTCCAGGCGGAGTGGGGAGGCCAGCAGGTTCCCCTCTGAACTGCCCGCCAGGCCCCCATTGGCACTGCCTAAGGGAGGAGGCAAAGCCCCTGCCCTCCCCCTCTGTCCTGTGCCCGGCTCTGTCCCCTGCGTGCCAGCTCCTCACTGCAGAGCTGCAGACACACACGTGCTGTGACGAGCTTGCTGGGCTCCGTCAGCGGGCCTCGGACTCCTCGGGCCTCAATGCTCTGTCCCGCATCTGTCTGTCTGTCTCCCACTCCTGGTGGCAGGATAGTGGAAGGCTGTGGGAGGAGGAGGACTCAGCTGGGGCCCTGCCCAGCTCTGAATTGATCATCTTGTACCTGTACAGTCCCCACGTGCCCCTGGCCCGGCTGCACGTGCTGGTCTGTCTCTGCCTCCTGGCCCCTGTGTCCCTGGTACCCACACTCATTGCCCTAGCTCTGCCTCCGTGCACCGGTGGGGAGCCCCACTCCTCTGCAGGACTCTCGAGGGGGGGTGAGGTGTGAAGAAGTCATGTCTCCTGTTCTTCCTCAGCCGCGATTCCTTGCAGACTGGCCCTGGAGAGGGACTGGCCCATCAGGCCTGGAGTGCAGGCTCTGAGAGGGGTCTTCATCCCCCGGAAGCTGCCCGTGGAGGCGGCTTTCCCCGAGGAGGGCCCCGGATGGCCTGGCTGACCCCTGCTGCCGCTGCCTGCGGCTCCCCCGGGTCCCCCAGGTCCTCTGCTTGCGTCCCCTGACGTCCCTGACAGCCTGCCCTGCCGTGAGGTCCTCCACCAGGCTGGGACCTCCGCCGCCCCACTGATCAGCCACTACTTTGCTCGTAGGTGGGCGGCTCTTTGGCAGCGGGAGGTGCTCGAGCCTGTCGGGGTCGCCAGGGGCGGCCCCTGTTGTGCACAGGATGGTGGAAGCCATGTCCCAGCTGCAGGAGGAGAAGGCCCAGCTGCAGGAGGAGCTGGTGGTCCTGCGGGAGAGGCTGGCCCTCCACGACAGCGACCAGCAAGTCGCAGCCGCCCAGCTGCAGAACCAGGTACCTGGGGAGGCTGGGCCAGGCGGAAGCCACTGCCCGCCTGGGGAACAGGTCAGAGGCCATTGCTCAGGACAGCAGGGTCTCTGCTCTTGGCCCGGCACCACCTAGAGGGTGAGGCAGGGCTACGCAGGGCCCTGGTGTGACCGTCTCGGGTCTGGGAGGCAGCAGGTCTTCGCGTGCTGGCTCCTGCTCCTGCTGAGCTGGGTGGGCCCTCTCAGGGGCACCCTTCTCACCCTGTGTCTGCCTCTTCTGCACTTCCCCGCTGCTTTGCCGGCTCTGGGACTATCTGCCCGCCGAGGGCCTCCTCGTGGCCAGCTCTGTCCCGCTGTCTGCTTGTGTGAGCCTCTTTCGTGCTGGGTGGGCGGGCGTGGCCCTGCCCCGTGGAGGCTGCAGGCTTCAGGAAGAGGGTCATTTGTTCCGTGCACACGTGTATGGTGAGGGGAGTGATGAGGGCGCTGCAGGAGGGACACACGCGCGTGCACACACACACAACACACACACACACACACACACGGCGGTGAGGGCTTAGCCCCTGGGGAAAAGCAGTGCTGGAACTGAGACCAGCACAGAGCTGAGGGAAGTACATTCTGTGCTCAGGGAAAGCCAGTGCAAAGGGACTGTGGCAGCAGGAGAGCCATGGCTCTGGGTGCTGTGGGCTTGGTCCAGGGCTCCCCTGCAGGTTGTGTGTCCGGCCCGAGGCGGGAGCTCAGCAGCAGTTCTGCCTTCCCCAGCCCGGCCCAGGTTAGGCAAGCCAGGCACTCCTCTTCCCAGACAGCTCTGCGTGTTCCTTCTTCCCCGAGCTTTGTTGAGAGTCCGTTCATGCGCCGTAGATTCTGTCCCTCTGGGACAGACAGCTCCCTGTTCATGAGTGTGCACCCCTCCCCGCTCTGATTCCAACCCAACTTAGTTGCCCTCCCTGCCCCCCCCCCCCAGCCAAAGGTAGGTTCACAGTCAGCCCCTGTTCCCCTGCCCCCAGCCCCTGGCAACCCTTAACCCACTTGCTCTGTTTATGGGTTTTCCTTTTCCGAACATTTCCTGTAACTGAAGTCATAGTAACTTGTGGCCTTTTGTGACTTTAAGCAAATTAAAAAGCAAACGTTTCTTCCTCTAATTAGCACCATGAACTTTTTAGGAGGGAAGGTGGAGGTGAAGCAGCCCAGCTGCCCTGGCGCCTGTGGTCCCCAGCGCCCCAGCCTGCGCCCCCGATGACTTGGGAGTTCCCAGTGGTCCCCGGTCCCGGCTCAGGTTGTCTGTGGACGTTCTGACCGCCGGCTGTTTCCCGGGATTTCTCAGGGGATGCCCCTGAAGCCTCAGGTCTCGGAGCTGCTCTCTGGAGGGTCTGGCCCTGTGCAGGTACAGCTGGAGCCAAGGTCAGAGTCTGACTTCGGCTCCACTCACCGGCTCTGTGCGCCTGGGTAGTTAATTAGCACTCTGTGCCTCTGTTTCTTTCTTTCTTTTTTTAAAGATTTATTTATTTATTTGAAAGTCAGAGTTACACGGAGGGAGAAAGAGAGGCAGAGAGAGAGAGAGAGGTCTTCCACCCACTGGTTTACTTCCCGGCTGGCTGCAACGGCCAGAGCTGCACCGATCCGAAGCCAGGAGCCAGGAGCTTCTTCTGGGTCTCCCATGTGGGTACAGGGGCCCAAGCACTTGGGTCATCTTCCACTGCTTTCCCAGGCCATAGCAGAGAGCTGGATTGGAAGTGGAGCAGCCAGGACTCAAACCGGCACCCATATGGGATGCCGGCACTTCGGGCCAGGGCGTTAACACAGCACCAGCCCCGCCTCCATTTCCTCATCTGCGAAATGGGCTTAATAACAGTCCCTGGACGAGGTGGTCCCTGGTGAGTGCCCACCACCATCCGGGGTAGCGTTGCAGACTTGTGATGGTCTGGGCAGGAGTCCTACCCTGGCCCTGCCATCCGGAGCTGTAGGAAGTCACTTCCCCTCCAAGCCTTCCTTTCCCAGTCTCTGATCTGGGGCTAAGCGTTGCTTGTGGATGGGGAGCAGACCAGCTGTGAGAGTGGACAGAGAAGGGGGTGGCAAACTGTGGGTGTGGTGCCCAGCGGGGTCACTGCCGGGTGCTCTGTCTGACGGTCTGAATGTTGCTCCCCGAAGGAGAGCCCCCGACGGCGCCTCCACCTTGCTTTTCCTGGCCTCGCCCCAGCCTGTCCAGACTCGCCCCCCACCCCACCTGGCTGCTTTGTCTTGCTGCAGATCCTGGTGGGGTGGGGGCGCCCTGCCAGCATCAGCCAGACCTGAGTCAGTGCTGCATCTGCCACTTAGCAGTCAGGTGACCGCTCGAAGGTTGCTTAACCAAGGCTAACCCTCCGGAAGCTCGGACGGTGCGGATAATCATACCTGCCTGACGGGCCGTCGGAGCTGACTCAGGCAGTGCAGCTGCCGGTGAGGCTCTGGGGGGTTGCGGAGTCTCTGAGGCTGAGTCGGGGAGTCGGGGATTCGGGGGGGGGCGCATGGTGTGCACTGGGAGCACTCAGGCCAAAGGATTGCAGCCCTGGACCACGCCCTGGCGGCCGTGACTTCCTGCCCTCTTCGGGGGGGGGGGTGGTCCCTGGAGCAAAGCCTCCAGGTTCCTTCCCATGTTCCGTGCCGCCCAGACCGTGGCCCTCCCCACCTCCTCCTCTCCCACCTCTAGATAGAACCGTAAAAATCGCCCCTCAGGGCGGGCATCCGGCTGCACAGAGAGGACACCTGCAGCCCACATGGGAGCGCCTGGGCACGATGCGCAGCTGCGGCTGCTGGCTCCTGCTTCCTGCTAACGCACACCCCTGGAGGCGGCAGTGACAGCTCCAGTGACTGGGTTCCTGTCACCTATGGGAGACCGGGATCGTCTCTCTGCCTCGCAAATAAAATATTTTACAAATTGTTCTCAGAGGGCACGGACTGGAAAACTAGATCTTGCCCTTTAAAATGTATAATGTGGCCTTAAAAAGTTTCATTCATTCATTCATTCATTCATTTGAAAGGCAGAATCACAGAGAGAGAGAGACAGAGAAAGAGAGAGAAAATCTTCCATCTGCTGGCTCACTTCCCAGATGGCTACAACAGCCAGGGCTGGGCCAAAGCCAGGAGCCAGGAGCTTCTTCTGAGTCTCCCACATGAGTGCAGGGGCCCAAGCGCCATCTTCTACTGCTTTCCCGGGCACATTAGCAGGGAGCTGGATCGGAAGTGGAGCAGCCAGGACCTGAACTGGAGCCCATATGGGATGCCGGCATCGCAGGTGGCAGCTTTATCTGCTGCACCACAACACTGGCCCCTGCCTGCGTTTTTGTAAAACAATTGGAGAATACATGTAACACCAAACATTCCATCTTAGCCCTGGTGAAGCCTCAGCTGAGTGGCATTGAGGCGATTCACGTTTTTGTGCGACTCTCACCACTGTCCAGCTCCTCCCCAAGCCGCGACCCAAACTCTGTCTCCAGCAAATAGGTTTCCCACCCTCCGCCCCCCAGCACAGCTCCACTCTACTTCCTGTGGCTCGGAACATCCTCTGGGTCCAGCCTCCGGGTGGCATCCCACAGCGGTCGTCCTGGCACCGGCTCATTCCCCCCGCCAGTTCAGGTTCCCGCGTGGCGTCGGTGTCAGACTCTGGCCCCGCCGTGTGTCTCACTTACCCGTCCACCCACGGACAGGATGCCAGACCCTTCGGCCCTTACAGGTAGCAGTGCTGGGTACACTGGGGCGAGCTTGTCCCCGAGTCCTCGCCTGCAGTTACCCGGAAGTGGGGTTGCTGGCCCGCATGGTGACTCTGCTTTTCCTCTGTGAGGGAGCCGCCGTATAGTGTCCCACCGCGGCTGCGGCGTCTTACGCTCCCCCCAGCAGTGCAGGAGGGGCCCAGGCTCTCCTCATCCTCACCAGCACCTGCTGTTGTGTTATTTCTTGTAACAGCCGCCCTAATGGAGTTAACCTTTGATTGGAAATGTCACTTGCAGGTATTTCTCTCCAATTCCGTGGGTTGCATTTTTACTCTGTTGATAAACTCCTTTGTCATAAGAACGTTTTCAATTCTGGTGAAGTCCAGCCTATCCATTTTTTTTCTTTATCATCCACGCTGTTGGTGTCCTACCCAAGAAATCTTCAAATCCAATGTCACGAAGTCTCTTCCTGTGTTTTCTTTGAAGAGCTAAGCGTTTGACAGGGTCGCTCTCGGGTTTTGGTCTCGGATGTATTTGAGGTGAACTGTGTGTGCTGGGGAGGGTCAGGGGCCCACTGCCTTCTTTCGCACGTGGATGCCCGGTTTTCCCAGCACCGTTTGTGAGAAGACTCTTTGCTCCCCTGGGATGATCTCAGCGTCCTTGTTGAAAATCACTTCGCTGTATCAGTGAGGGGTTACTCTTGGGCTCTGTATTCTATCCCATTGGCCTGCATGTTGGTTTTAATGGCAGCCCCATGCTGTTTTGATGACAGTAGCTTTGTAGTAAGTTTTTCAAGCAGGAAGTGTGACATCTCTACCTTTGTTCTTTTTCAAGATTGTTTTGGTTCTTTGATGCCCCTTGAAATTCCATATGAATTTTAGGATGGATTTTTCTACGTCTTCAGAAGCCATTGTTGGGCTTTTGATAGGGACTGCAGTGGACCTATGGAATGCTCTTGGTGCTATTGACATCTCAATAATCCATGAACATGGGATGCCTTTCTATCTGTTGGTGTCTTCTTTAATCCCTTTCAGCAACATTTTGTGGTTTTCAGTGTAAAAGTCTTTTACATCCTTTTGTGCTATTTTGTTCCTTTTAATGCTGTCATAAATGGGATCATGTTCTTAATTCCTTTCGGGGTGGTTCTTTGCTAGTTACAGAAATGCAGTGGATTTTTGTGTGTTTTTGTATCTTGCACATTTGCTGAATTTGGCTATTAGTCCTAATTGGCCTGATTTGTAAAATCAAATTAGTTGCCTACATTTAAATTTTTTAAATTTATTTATTTGGAAAGCAGAGCTGCAGAGCAAGAAGGAGAGCCAGCCAGCCAGACACACACACACAC